CATTTGAAATGTGTGAAAATGGCCATTGTAATTGTGAAACGAATGAGAATGAGATGATTTGAGTGCAATGTGTAGTGAATACCTCTGTTGAAAGTGCATTTTGTGTGTGCTGCATCATGGGAGACAGTCGGTGAGAGCAATTGCGCGAGAGAGAGCGAGTGATAAAAAGCAAAAAAAGTAAGAAAAAGATTGACAAGAAAGAGCATTTTCTGAGCCAAACAGTGAGCGCAAGCCACCTTACATAATATGAACCGAAAAAAAGCAAGTTGACAACTCTTTTTAAAGGCATTCCGCATATTTTTGCTGCGACACTTCGACGACCTCTTGTACGATTAGATAGTGTTTTGTTGCGCGCCAGGGATTTGAACATGATTGTTGTTCTGATTGTGATAACGATTAATTTAGCGATGGTGTTGAGTTGAACGATTGATTTTTGCAGTGTGCGCACAGTGCAGAATGACTACATGTGGCATTTAAATGATGATCGCGAGCGCAAATGTGTTGTGCCGTGTGATATTTGTGCTTTTGTTTCTGTTCAGAGAGCCCCATTTTGCTCTGTAAGTTATTAATCAGACGGGCCATTATTTATCGAATGGCATTGCAATGAAAAATGGATATGATCGGCTGTAATCCAGTCGACACATTCATCAGGAGTGTTAGTTGTCGTTTAGATCAATTTACACTTGATCGTGTGCAATGTGTGTTTTTTTTTGCTTGCTTGTTCGCGACGTTGCTGCTGCAGTCGTCGTCGTTGTTTCTATTTGGTGATTGCATATAAATTTTATGGCCAACAGAGTGAGAGAGAGAGAGAGAGATCCGTGGAAATAAAGCGGTTTACAACGAATGAGAATATGCAGCAGCAATTACAGTCCAGTGTGTGTATCATTACAAAAGCGAAACAAACACGCGTCCGCCAGTCGATATATTGGTAGTCAGTCGATAGTCGATAACAAACTAAATCTTATTAACGTTTTCTACTAAACGTTCGCGATAAATGACTTAAATAAATAAAATTAATGCGAATAAAATTTTATTACAAGCTAGCAAAAAACGGGCCGATGTACACAGCACCTCAGAACGTAACAACAACGAGCAAAAGACAAGAAGAAGAATAGGGCAAAAAAATGAATAGATGATTTTCCATCGAGAGCTACTGCGATGCAATGGCAGACGGAATGACGAAACGACACTATGATCATGATCGTGTTCGCACTACGTGAATATGCTGCAGTTTCCCTCTGCTTAATATTGGCATCAAGAGAATGAGAGAGAGAGAGAGAGAGAGAGAGACGCAGCACATCCAGTAGCTATGGCACGACTCTTAAATTGAGACATGTTATGATCATTAATGTTCATTTCGGTTTATTTATTTATCTTATCCGCGTGGTTTTCCCTCCAGTCCTTGTCTCATTCGCCCTCTCACACAACCTGATTTCGCCTCATCATCTCATAGGTCTTGAGTAAACAACATCGTTGGTTTCAACGACAAACTTCAATTCAATTTTTGCTGTAGTGAAGGTCGCAAGATGAGATGATCTGCGATTGTTCTTTATATTTTTGCAATTACTTGATTTTCGATTATCGTTTTGCTTACCTCTCCAGTCGCCAGAGAGAGAGAGAGAGAGAGAGAAAGAGAGAAACCATTGTTGAAGCGGTCGATTCCACTCTCTCGCGTTGGTTCGATGGTAACCGAAAACGGTTTGACCACAACAACGGATAAACAGATGAATTAAAAATTAAAATGATGGAAATATCAAGAAATCCACGGACACGACAGATTTTGAAATGTGCAACCAAGTGCTGTTGTGAGTGTGCGATTGACCGACGGATCGATCGATCGGTTTTCATTGCGCATTTTGGTTCATGAATTAATGCACTTGCAGATATCAATGTTCCAGTTCTTATCTTTATTTTCTTCATCATCGGATTGAACTGTTTTGTCGACGAAGACGACGTGGACGAGTGCGAGTCGCGCTTGTCTGCATTGGCGATAGAAAGGTAACGGCAATCGACAAAGCGATCGTCTTCTTGTCAACAGATCACATCATGCGATCGGCTTTTTTAACTCAACTGTTCGTTTTTTTTTAGTTTGTTTCTCTTGTCTTCTTGTTGCTCCTTCACTGGATGTGATTAGTGAGGCAAACCGAAATAAATGCATATCAAAATATCATTCGCAACGATGACAAAAGACTAGTAGTCTCTATGAAAAGATCGAAAGAGAATGTGGAGTAGCACAGAAGGAACAGGAGGGAGAAAAAAAAACAGGCGCAGAGATCACGCGGCACACACAAATCAACTGTCATCATCGAAAAATATCAAAATGAAAAACTTGATCTCAGCTCAAAACAGACATAGCACATAATAACGCATGAAAATTCACGAGTGTTAGCTGTTGAACTTGAATAAATGCATAAGTGAACAGAGAGAGAGAGAGAGGACATTGTGCAAAACATGAATAAATGATACATAAAATAAGGTACGAAAAACGGTTGCGCTATTCAGGCAAAGCAATTCACAATGAGAAAAAAAAACACAACCAAACCACTACAAACCGAATCAAACGGCTTGAGGAAAACCAACGAGAACCACTGTAAATGCTAATGCATTCTATGCGCGCGCGGCACACACAACGATTCCAAAGATGATATGACAACAAAAGCAAACTCACCAAATACACGAGAGGAGAGAGAGTGAGGGAACAAAAAACGAAACTGCACCTCTGTTTCGAGTTTGCTTTTTTATTGTTATTATTCGATCTTCTGGCCAAACTTATCGACAACAACGACAACTTTGCAGCCATATTTTCCCTTTTCAGCTTCCGATTGCTGCACAAAACAACGAATTCTGTGACGATTCTCTCGATACATTTCGCACTATGTCGTTTTTGGTTGCTACACCTTTTTTTCCCGTCGCTCGTTGCACTCGCTCGCTTCATCTCCTTCGACATTGTGGTGATCAATGTGTAATGACGTGTGACGATCACGAAATGGCTACAACATTACAAACATGTGCTTTCGCCATACAAATCAACCCGGCCGAAAACTTCACAAACTTTCTTCCTTCATGTGATTACTTTGAAAGTTTATCAACATTGTGTGTATTTTTTCTGTCTTTCGCTGTTCGTCGTCAATGTTCATCGATCAATGCTGGAACTGGTTTATTCGCAACTGTTTTGTATTGATTTATAGCACGGTGTCTGAATGACAATAACAAGAGAGAAAAAAATTGTAATAATAAACGATAAAATGTGCATTTTGTATTGTTGCCAGCATAAAACTATCGAAAACAAGTGAGTGCACGGGATTTTGTAGCAAGCACAAAAGCAAAAAAAAAAAAGAGAATCGTATCAATTTTTGGTCGAATGGAACAACTAAGAGGAGCGAGAAAGAGATTGAACGACAAAAACGGGTGAAGAAGTAAAAGCAACAACAAAAAAACGGACGCAAAGGGAAAAACGCGATTGGTAAAATCCAAGGAAAAAGCGGCAAATGAAAATATGTTTCATTTTTGATCAGTTCGACTGATGTGTGTTATTGTTGCCGCCGAAAAATCTGTAACATTCCGCGCTGTTATGGTGTGTTTTTTTTTTTTGTTTGTTGCCATTGAGTGTGTGTTCATCATCGGTCGCTTCGTCATTTTATAAGTTGCTCGATTTTTGGATGTCTATATTTATAAATCTTATGAGAAGCGGCAAACCGATTGAACGATGTCAACAAACCGCGCGCAAAACTCCAACAAAAAACGTACACACAAATTATGAAAAGTGAAAGATAAAGCAAAAAAACTGCCGAAAACTCGGTGTATATCGCTGATATTGATCGAATGCAACAATCAAATCGAATGAACCAACGACGAGACATACACAACAACAAAAAAACATGAACACGTATAATACACACACTTGAAATCAAGTCAAACGAAAAATGCCAAATGCTTTTATGCCAATTGAATCAACAGGCAATCATCAAGCCATTCGCCGCGCCGCGCAACAATTTTCGGGCCAACACTTTTATTTTGTATGATCGCGCGCGGCAACGCGCAACAGACAACAGAATATCGCTGATTTCGATCGAATCGTTTTTGATGTGCACAGAATGCAGTTGATGTCGTGCAAAAAATTACAAATATTTTCGCAAGTATTTTTCGAGTGTAAATTAACGTGTCAACGGTGTGTATTAAATTAATTCATCTTTTTGGTTTTTCATCTTGTGCTGCCACATTTGCGTTGCACTTCAACATTCAATCATCGATATTTTGTTGGGTTGTTGCTGCGTATTTTCCTTTTGGAAGCGCGCACAAATAAGATAACATGCTAAAAATGCATGTGACGAATGGCTTGAGACACGACCTGGTACACCATTGCCGCAGTAGCAGAAGCAACAACAGTGGTAGCATCCGTCGCCGGATGAAATTCGCCAGTGCAAAATGTTTGGCATTCGAAAATTGTATCGCATTTATTATAAGAATGTGTGACTCTGACCACGAGAGGTGTTTGCATTTCTAACGAACAAACATTTTTCGACAAATTCTTGGTGCTCGCCGATTCTTGGTCGGTGTCGCGTTCGCGTTTCTGTAATTTGTTTGTCTTAATTTGAAAATGTGCGCGCATCCACATTCATTTATTATGGAAGTGATAGCACAGACCATTCGACGAATTCACGTGCATTCGACGTTTTGAACCGGCGACGGAATCATTGTGTATCAAGTGAAAAAATGCATTTGCAATGAATTTTAAATAAGCCCTACATTTCATTAGGGCTCGATGAAGTTAACATTCTTGGCACATCTTTTCGATTCCATTTCAATTCTGTTGCTTGCGCCCATGAGTGCTCTCCGTTTTTCTTGCTTTTGAAAACAGAGCTCATCCATTCCTTAGTTCATCATACTCTCTGAAATTCTCTCTGTCTCCCGTTGTGTGTGTATGTGTTTATTTCATTTTCCATTCTCATTTCGCATCACGTGTTAACGCACATCTTTTTTGTCTATTTTTATAATTACAGCTCCGAAAACAAATGGAGCAGAGCCGATAAACCTTCACATGGACACATCTGGTCATTCGTTATATCGTTTCCCATTTTACAATTCTTTTAAAAATTTCCATCAACATCAATCAGGTTAGTTATAGAATGTTTTTTTCTTTTCATTTTCGTTTGGTTTTACCTTTCATTTTTTTTAGTTAGCTGTTGTTGCGCGCGATTTTGTGTTGACGTTCAACGTTTAAATACGAATTTGTGTTAACAATTTTAACGTAGCTTTTGTTTTTTTTTTAATTATTTCTTATTATTTGATTTGTTTGTATCTTTTGTATTTAATACTTGAAGATATCCGAGGAGAGAACAAAAATCCGTTTTCTTTTCTGGAATCCATAATTTAAATTTTTTTGACGCATTTTGCGCAATTCGAAATGAGAACAGACACACAGACATTCCATATTGAGCGATGTGCTCGGAAATCTCAAAATCGGAGCCCTTTATTCGAAATAAGTTGTAAATGTGTACGCGCTAGAGACACATGGCTCTTGCTCCCTCTCTCTCATAATGCTCTCTATTTGCTTTGCATCGATATATTTCAGGCTGGATGCGAGTAATTTTCTAATCCTAAATTATTGCCGGTTGTTTGCTCGGTAATTTTTTTTTCTCTCTTCCTTCCACATTTGCACAGGCTAAACTTTAAAAATTCGTCTGCATCAACACAAAAAGTAGCATATGCAATAAAATATTTTATTGACTTTTTTGATTTAAAAAAATTTACAACTGAAAATGGTGTAGTTTTCAAGTCAAATGCACATGACACATGATTCAAGGGTATATTTCGTTTGTTTTTTTTTTCGTTTGTTTTTTTTTTTCGTTGCAACGACGTGACTTTGCAACACATTTATTTGCTCATAATAATTGTTGTTAGTTTTTTTTCTTAATTTTTTTTCTGTAGGGATTTAAAAAAAAAAATCTCTGCACCAACACCACAAATCATTGCATTTTATGATGCAATTGCGCAAACATGCGAAACAAAATGCTCGAAATTTCTCATGATCTCCTTCGACAACGACGACGATGACCTTCCGTTCAGGCATAAATCGACGAAACGTAATTGGATTCGATCACTTATTCGCAGTCGTCAATCGGCATGGAGGGAAAAAAAGGATGAAAGTGCATTTTCCAGCGCGGCATTGTAATTAGTTTACGTTTAACTTCAAACTGACATGCCTTTAAATATTATCATTAAATGCCGAAAAAAGGCCATATATATGTAAACGCTTTCGAATCATCCATAAAACCACAAACCACAATTAGTTTTCCATTAAAAAGTTTATGACGCGCCAGCACACCCATACAATCCATGCGCACACCAACGATTGTAGCCACTCTTGCCGTTGCCACCGCCGCAGCCACACGGTGGCAATACGTTTTATTTTTAACATTGTAATTTGTGCATGTAAAAATAGAAGAGTAATGTGCTGCCATCACTGCAGCAAAATGCACCGAGATGAAATGCCGTATGTCGAACGAAAAATTGGCCACAGACTGTGATTCATGGGCCATTTCGATTAGTTTGCAAGTTAACTACTTACTCAACTAATTTTAAACCATGGATGATGTTTTGAAAGAAAATTATGTACACACGAACAAAGAACGACACTTTTCGAGTGAAATTTTGATCGACTCCCAATTGGGTTGGAATTAAAGTTCAAATCGAAATTGTCTGTTCATTGGGCACAACCTTTCAAATATTCTCATTAATTAAAGACGGTTTTATTCATGTTTCGTGTAAAATACAGTTCTCGTGTACAAAGTCCAAATGAAGTACGAAACGGAATTAAAAGGGTTATAAATTTTACGATGATGAAGGTTCACACACACACACGACACACACACAAAATGCCAACGACAATGAACGATGAATCAGAGGGAGAAAAGAAAAATCGGAACTGAAAAGTTTCACTGAAACACTGGTTACATTATTCACTTCCTTATGGACTTGCAAGCGCATTTCTTTCGAATCTATCGACGAAAATTGCCGACAGCACACTATTTTCCATAGTCATAGAAGATTAAAATATATTGTCCTCCGTTTAAAATCGACATTTTTCAACGAGCCACTTTAGTTTCGGCACGCATGCAACCCTCTTCTGTTTCAGTGAACATCGAAAGCATTTCACCTCGAATGCAATAGACACTATTTATCACCGCGTGCCACTCTGCGCTAAATAGATCGAACACACACTTTCATAAGCAAAGATGGCAATAGAGAGAGGGAGAGGAATGGAGAGAGTTAGTAAATTGCGACACTTTTATTTATGGCCAAACGGTATTAACCACATCTGACGACATCTTTAATTCGCCGCTGATGTAACATCCAGCCATGTGTTAGTATCCAGATTCCATGAGAAAAATTAATTCCTGCTATGATTACGGCTGGTATGCATGAGCTCTGTGATGGAAATTTAGTCGGATGATTTTAGCAAGGTATTCTGATTCGGAACTAAAAATCGAAAACATGTGGACATTTCAAATTTTATTCAACATTTTCAATTGGCTTATGGTCATTTTCATTAATTTTTTTATCGTATTAAAAAGAATGTTCTATCAGTGAGATTTGAAATATTTCCATGCAATTTAATTGAAAAGAATATTGCACTTTTCAGTGCCGCGATTTGATTAGATTTTTCGTCTTATTTGTCTGTTTATTCAATGAAAATGACTGATTCTTCTACTTAAGACGGCATTTTCTTTCCAGAATTGAGACACAAAAGGGATCCAATCATTTGATCTAAATTGTTTGAGAAATAGAATGAAAATGCTTAACCTTACGATTATCAAATCCAAGTGGTTGGCAATGAGCGCCCACAGGCTTGTAAATCCATGACGATTAATATACTGACTATTGGCTATTACGGTTATAGTATCAGTGGAATCGTTGTCAATAAACAATTGCAGACACGTGCAATGAATAGGTGACTACTTTATCAGTGACGCAAGAAAAAAGAAAATCTAAGAAAGCGTCTAGTAGCCAGTCTAGTTGTATACCAGCATGATTCAATGGGGACAGCAAAATAAATTGGTGGCTTAGGAGCTGCTGATTATAACACCGACGCTAACGATTTTCTTGCCAAACGAAAACTGGAAGATGGTCAGGAAAGGGAGCCAACGTTAAAGTGAAAAGGACTGTGTTTGCATATTGATTCAGATAGTAGCTGCGGTTGGTGCATTATACACTCACACAAACAGAGGACCTACTGTATCTTTTCAAAAAAGCATGTGGTAAAGGCCGAGACAAAAAAAAAAGATATCCATTGTGGTCTGGTGTTATGTTGTTTTTTTTCTTTCGTAAATGCTTCATTTTATTGCTTGACTTGTACAAAAGAAAATGCGCTTGATTTTTATTTGACGCGGCAGGCAATTGCGAGCTCATCACATCGTTTTATAAAACTTAGCGGTAGATTACTTCAACGCTATTAATAATAAAAACGAGCTACTGGCAAAGAAAACACCAGCGTGAACAAAAAAATATCTATGTCTCTCTCTCCCTCCCTGGTTCTTCTCCTCATCTCTTCATTTTTTTTTTTTTGGCAACCACAAAGCGAACCATGAAGAGAGAGGAGAAAAAATGTTAAAGGGAATTTAAATTAAAGCAATATAAGAAGCCAAGCTGCTGAATTATTTTTTTTCTCTCTGAATGGTGGTGGTGGTCGCGCGTGTATAAAGTCGAAATCATATCGCATCCATTTCGAAAATGGATGAAACGGAATTGGAAAGAGATGGAGAACAAAGAGAAAAGAATACAGATAATGAAAAGATTAGAAAGCTGTTTTCAATGCAATTTAATTTTATCTGCTTAAAAATTGCGCCCGCCAATGAAAACCACGAAATTGAGCGAGAGCCCGAGAAGAGAGGGATCAACAATGTGAGCTCAATGCATACACAAACACACTGCTGTTGACGGCAAAAAATATGCAAAATGATTAACACTAGCGATGAAATCTAACAGTGAAATGAAAATGCCACAAGAATACACTCGAATTCGTTTGGTCGTGGTGAAGCGTGAAAGAAATACATTCCGAAATGGTTAACCTTCCCAAACGGTGCATACCGGCTCACTAAGTGAAATTGTAGTTCGCTTTTTGGCGCATTTTTTCTACGCAAACGACTTACATTCAGCATGTTTTACATTACTGCCACGGGGCCGGATTAACATCGAGTGGCAGATACTTCATACTTAGTATTTAATCCATGGTAAATCTCATTGAATGCGTTTGTTCAAGCAGATTTATTTCTCATACAAAACACAGAGAAGAAAAATTGAAAGAGAGAACTGCGACAGATCAGGAAGTTGTTGTATCGTGGAATCTTTTGTGAGAACAACAATCTCGTGTTGTCTTAAAAATAGTCTCATTCGATAGAAGTCTTGTTGGAATTGTTCAAATCGCTGTTGTTTATCAACATCGTTGGATCAATCGGATCGAAGTGTTTTAATTCGAAGTATTTTTCAAGTTGAAAGACAACGTTACCGTTGTATTGATGTCAACGTGTTATCGGTTTTCCCCCTTTTTGTCATTTGTTTCGAAATTAACGAGGAAGTTAAAAAAAAAAATGTGATCGAATCGTTTTTCATAAAACTGCCATTTATTGGCTGTTCTCTTGCATTCAAAATCTATTGATTGACTTGAGGGCAAATAAAATTGGAATACAAAGTATTTTTTCTTTACTCGTCATGTCTGCCAGTGTCTCAGTTTATTCTGATGAGAAAAAAAATAGTCGTTCATAAAGTCGACAGGTTGAATCGAAATTACGTTTTTATTGGCTTGTTCTGAACTGGTTACTGCATAAGTAAATAGCTTGATAATGATGTCTCTATTCGTTTTGCTCTCGATATTTTTTCTCGTCGTTGTTTTGAATGTTTAATTGAGCAAAATCTCATTGTGACACGTTGTCAAGCTCCAAACCAATTTAGATATATGGATGTATATATAAAAATCGAATACACTCATTCCGATCGTTTATTGGTCGCTGGCCTCAGTATGTCAAAAACTATATATATGAGCTGTATAACACTCAAACTCTCCATACATTGTATATTTTGAAAAAAAAAAAGAAGAGAAAAAATACAAATAAAAAAGAGCAACTGGCAACACCGAGAGCTCCTTTTGTGTGCTCTTGCTTCGATATCTCTGTCTCTCGTTATATCGTCTTTGTAACAATTTTACTGCGTAGTTTAAGGTGAAACAGTTAATATGCAATAAAATAAAAATCGAAATATTTTGTGCTCGGTTTGATTTTCGGCCAGTTCGACGCGGTGCGCTCATCTCGTTGTAAAAAAGTACAATTTGAATTTTATGAAATGGAACGATAAAAAAACATTTCGAATCATTTCGGCCTTCTGAACTGTTTCAAGTGCAGGCACGTCATCTTCTCGGTCATTTTTATCGCTTCTTTTCTTCGACTGACGTCGATTCATCAACACTCAACCGAAAGAATTCGTTTTCTTTCTTACCAACGAAGAACCATACTCTCTGGTTATGAACGAGAGCCGCATGAACTAACAAGAAGTGGACGCTGAGATGATGATGAAAAGAGCACATAAATTTTATTTTGAATCATAATCACATTAGGTAATATTTCACATCTGATTGATGTTTTTGCGGCCACCAAATGCTTGCTGCAAACTGTAACACATGCACCGCAAATACTTTGTGTCCATCCCCAGATCTGAAGCCCCGAATGATTTTCGTACCACTTTTTGCTCAACTTTCTTGTCAATAATTGCTCGAAATTAATTTTAACGACTTGTAAAGTAACAAAGTTGAAAACGAATAGCATCGTTATAACAACAATACAGTGTCCGTTCCGCATCAGCTATAAGCACCACACCATCACCAATTTTCGAAAGAAAACAAACTCCCTCTCTGTCTCTTTCGCTTTCTTGCCATATACAAATGCGTCATCAAAATCGGCCCGGCTACACAGCATATTATGCGACCGCAATGCAAAGCTAAACATTATCCCACACAAAACAACAACCGGCCAATATCTATCCTAATGTATTTTTAATAAGTTTTTAGTTTGGCTTTGCGCATATCGACACGCTTTGACAAAATGATTTATAATTCACCATTCGCCCCCCCTCCCCCTTCTCTCCACACGCCAACCATTTACCATCGAACCAACACGCAATTTTTAATAGCCTTTTCATTCGACAGTTCATTTACGTGTATAAGCATCGGCAGGCTTAATTAAACCATTTGTTAGCGCAATAACAGAAGAGGCTGCCTGAGCATTCAGCTATTTAACATTTAACTCTTTGACTTTCCCTAAAGTAGTTACCGATTTCTAAAGCTAATCCAAGGCAGCATGTTGAACGTATGACACTATTAATCACCGATTTACCACATTGCCCATACACACCAAACACAGCATCGTTTGAAAGAGAAATGACAAAAATTGTTTCGAAATTAATTTCGGAGAACTTTGAATGCGAAGAAATTTTTTTGTTGATTCCTTTTTTTCGTCTTGGTCAACTATTGGTTCTCTTCCAACAATTTAGATTTGTTGATTCGAAATTCGAAATTTTCATCTGAAAATAATTGAAATTCGAGTTAAAAACTTTCAAAGTATACATTTTTGTCCAGTAGGCAATATTAGTAACGCGAAACAATCGTCGAGGTGAAATTTCACAAAAAAAATGCAATAAATTAAGAAAATTCAATAAAAAAAAGTTGAATATGGAAAAAAAACCGCAAGAAAAACTCAAATCATCTAGAGTCACGGCATTTGGTTAAACGGACAGAACATCGTATGCTTCATTTAAGTTAATATGTGTGTTTAATGAGTGTCGCACACGGGGCGCGCGCTCCTACATATGTGCTGTTGAATGCAAGGAAAGGATTTTGTGTGTATGTGTGTTTTAATCATGAAAAAGAGTGTTACATTAATCAACCATAATTATTTGTAATGGATGTAATAAAGTTCTTGACACAAATCTGTATAAGCTGTGCACATTTTGTGCGTAATTTCGGCATGAACAGTTGTGTGTGTGTGTGTGTGTGTGTGTGTGTGTGTGTGTGTGTCATGTGTTTAGTTCGCTTACGCGCGGCTTGTTCATTTCACATATCCATTTGAGAGTGCTAGTGTTGAATAGCAAAAGTCTAGAGTCTTGATACGGTACATAAATATCGCATCATCTTGTTCGGCGATTCTATTGCCCCGTCAATGTGTACTTAGATCGTTGACACACTCCCTCCGTCACTTTCCTATTGAATTGGTAACATCGAAATAACCATCAACTTAAGTGTCATGTTTCCCCGCGCACTTTGACTATTTGCATTGTGGAATGAGTGGTGTTTACTGTTTACATTACACCAAACATTCAACCCTCGCATCTTCTGCGATCGCCTTGCTGCCACACACACACACACACGAGATCTCTCTCTCTCTCTCCCTCATCCCAACTGCTCTTGCCGATAAATTTCTTTACAAAGTGTTAAACAACTTTCTCTCTGTCGCTCACTCGAAAGCGGCACACACTTTGTCGTGTGCGCTAACGATGAGCTAAGACAAATGTTAACAATGGGCAACACAAGCCATTACACACATTTCAGTTGTTACGGCGACGGCGGCGTCTCTGGCAAATGATTTAGTTATGTGCGCGCTGTGTTTGTTTCGCGTCAAATTGAAAAATTTCTTTCTCTCCGAAAATTCTATTAGAATTAAATGATTCTAATTTGGTAGCCAATTTGGAAATGTGTGCGCGCCTACAACATACAGTAATTACTAAATTGCCTCTTGTTTTCATTCTTGTTTCTTTTTTCGCTCTTTAAGTCAAAAATGAAGCAAATGCGCGTGAAGAATTGTACCATTTGTAGTCACATAAATTTAAGACGATGCTAACCCGATCTTTTGAGATGGAAAGCAGCCACATCTTACTTTGGCTCTCGCTTTGGTATTTAGATTTTATTGGAAGTGAGAAAGC